GCTCAAGGTTGACTCAGCCTTCCATCCTTCCGAGGTGGGTGAAATGAGGACCTAGACTATGCTGACTCTGTAAACCGCTTAGAGGGGGCTGAAAGCCCTATGAAGCGGTATATAAGTCTAACTGCTATTGCTACTGCTATTAGCATTAGTAGGAATTTCAGCACATTAGCAGAGGATAATCCTCACACAAAACACTTTGTGTTTGTTAAAAACACAAAGCACGCCATACCTGGTTCAGAAAGATTTACATTAAAACCTCTTTGTCTTATTTCAGTTAAAAAAGAAGAGGAGCCTGATCTATCTATGGCAAGCATGGGTAAGTTCAATACTAAAGAAAACAAAAATAAGCAGATAAAGTATGCATAATCATGCCAGCCATAAACAACATTAATGATCAATAAAAATATCTTCTTTATTCAGCCTCAGCGGAGCTAAGCACAAACATGATAAAATTGCTTATCTTTGTCATAACATACAACAACCTAAGATAGGCAAAATAAATCTTGATTTCACAAGAAGCTATTCATTTTTAATAGTTAAATCCAAAATTTTATTGTAAAAGTCAATATTACAAATTTAACTGGGCCTTTGACCAGTGGTGAAATCTACTTATCTTCACTACTGGTTTGCAAATGTGAGCGTGCACGTGCATGCGCTCGCCCCATTCGCATGCACCACCTCCGTGCATGCACAGGACCTTCCATGTATGCACAGAGCATCAAAAATGGACGTAATGATGTCTGGGCAAGTGGACAGAGACTGCTACCGAGTGTTTACTACCAGGTCAGGCAAACCAGTAGCTTTTTTTATTACCAGTTTGGGCAAACAGGTCTGAACCGGTAGCATTTCACTCCTGCCCTTGACCCATTTATAATTTTCATAGATCAAATCTTATTTGGCTTCTTGTTGTTTATTTTAAATTCTTTACGAAGGTGGAGATAATCTTGCTGAGGAATGCAAAATCCATTAAGGGAGGAAAAATGACAACTCAGTCCTGAAAAAAGAGCTAGTGTGAGAAAGAAACCCCAAATAACCTCGCCTGGTTTCCATTTGGTGTTAGAGGGATAGGGGAGAACTCTGGCTAATAGTATTCCTGTAATACTGTTGGAAGTCTTGAAGTTCCCTGGGACTGAAGTAGTTCAATTGATTATTTTATATCAAAATGTAGTTTTTTGTAGCCTGAGTCTAAGAACTAAGATCCTCTTAATTAATTTAGTCAACCTTTTCTAAAGAACATTCTCAGGCAGCTCTAGATTTTTATATGAAAAGAATCATCTATGGGAAAGACAACATTTAGTTTCCATTGAAGTCCATGGTATTCCTTAATAATACAGTTAACCAGATATACACATACACACTCATGCTTCAGGACAATATAAAGTCCTTCTGGAATATAAAACAACCCTTTTCCATTTTCTTGGCGATTTATTCTTGTTTTACAATATCAGATGACTGGCCATAATTTCATTTTGATGTGACTACATTGAACGCAGGGTCATTCAAAACGTAGGAAAAGAGTATATTGAATTTATTGAGAAATTCATTTTAGAATGTTTGTGTCATTGTGGAACTTTGGAATGAATGCAGTAGTCTGTCTGTCTGTCTGTCTCTCTCTCTCTCTCTCACTCTCTTTCTCTCTCTCTCTCTCACTGAAGAAAATTTTATATTTTTTTCAGGCCACCCAGAAATATTTCCCTTGGTCCTCACTGAAAAAACACAAGAAATATTTAACTGCTCTGCTGATATAGATGTAACAGCTGAAAATCCTTACAAGCTCATTAAAAAGGAAGATATTATTAATGACATGAAGACAAGAGCTGCGATTTCTGACTTCCACCCTATCAAAAAAGTTATACTAGTAAGTTACCCTTCAAGGCATGTTGTATATAAAATTTTCTGTTGGAACTTGAGGTGCTTGATTATATCAGTTATTCTAGATTGGGGGTTTTGAGATTTTTGGATTAGAAATTGTCAGCTTAAACGAGCTGGTTAAAAAAAATGACTCCATATTGAAGAAGAGGATATCTATCTCTATTATACATGTTAAAAATATAAATTCAAAAGCCAAAAACGTTGGACTATTAAATGATGGATAGCAACTGACATAGGGTCGAGATACAAATTCAGCCTCTCACCCCTCTTCTCTTTTCTCAGTTCTATTTGGAGGTTAGTATTTTTTTCTAATTATAAAAATCCACTTATCTATATTCACACAGGATTATCCTGGCGAAGAGCTCCTGCTAGTCTTTGACAGAGAATTAAAATATGGACAAATCTTTTATCTTATTGCAACCGAAGAAGCAAAGGAAAACATTTTAAATGTAAGAGATTGTTCACTTATTTGGTATGTGCATGATAGAGGGTCAAAATAGTATTCTGAAGAGAGAGTAACATAATTGTGTGACAATGTAGTCTTTAACTCTATTTTTTTTTTAATCAATGCATTAAATATTAAAACCCTTACTATTTTCACCTCCATAGCCACCAGAGCCTGAGGAAGAGGAAGACGTTAAGGAAGGGGTGCCTGAAGAAGTTTATAAACCTCCTGTGCCCAAACCTTGGGTTTCGCTTGGAAGTGAAAAGGAAATTGAAGAAGAATCAGTCAGGGAATCAACAAGGAGGGTAAGGAGATTTAATTTTATTAAGCAAAATCTAAGGGAGTAATCTCGTAATACTCTGTAGAATTAGATTCTAGCTTCAGTGGCACTGTGGTACTCAACTGCTTAGGAACTCATCAAATTTGGTACTCAATACATTTTGATGGGAAAGTTTTCTCCCTTGTTGTTTGTTAGTTTGTGAGAACTTATTAGTGTTAGCTGCCTTGTGACTCACTGCATTATTCCTTATGAGAAAAATGTGGTACTTGTAGTTTTTGATACTCATCGGGCCTCCTGGAACCAATTAACGATGAGTACCGAAGTACCACTGTATTTATGAGAAAGTTGAAGGAACCTCTTGAAAATTTCAACACTTTGATCCCATAACAAGCAAACCTTGAGGAAAC